TATAGAATAATATTAGCAATACTTATAATACTTGTTATTGTAAAAAAAAGTTTTTTAAAAATTAAAGTTGCTTAAATCCTATTAAAATCAAATATGTCACAAAATTAATTGAATGGACTAACTTTATTATCTATTGAGAGTGAAATATTAAAATTATTTGATTACAAAATTTTATTATCTGATTTTTTGACTCAAAAAGTAAAAAAACAATAATATAAAAATTGATAATTTATTATATATTAGGCCTCAAAATCCCTTGATGCGGCCTGTGTCCTCTGTTTCGTTCCAGAAAAACAGAGCAACAATTACTACGTGACTGAAGAGATTAATGACAATGCAGCAAGAGTCATTAGAGGTTTACACGTACGGTACTAAGGAGTGTGTGTGTTTGGGGCCGAAGAAGATTCATGGAGTGTTTGGTTATCAGGATCGGAATCCAAGTTTTGTGGGTCGGGCTATGAAGTGATGAGTTCGTGGTATTCATGATGAAGACAACTGATGTGAGATGGATGTCGTGCAGACAAGAGGCCTCTGTGCCAAACAGGGATTTTTGAAAGAGGAGTGTGAGTTGCGAATTCAGTGGTCATTTTCAGGAACAGGGCAACGCCAAATGTCGCAGATTGTATGATTCAGGCGAACGCCCAACACAAATCCTTCACATGTAAGACGAGTTACCTGCCAAATATGAACACTGTGTTCGATGATAAGTCAGTCTACTAACTCGTGTTTGTTTTAGTTTACGATTCAGTCATGTTTTCATAGAGAAAGCATTGAATGTTGACTTCGACTTGACCTCCAACCACACCCTTCGCTGTCTCATCCAGGCTTTGGTACGTTCATAATGCTTCCCTCAGCGTTGGGAGTGCTGGAAAAGTTTCAGGTCTTCAAAATCCTCTCCTATCTTCTCAGTCCTCACTTGTATCTCAAAGCTATAGCCCTCAAATAGTTAGAACTTCTCGCCGCCGAGAACGAGAGGAAAAAGAAATTGGTGGAGGCCGGTGTTCCCAAAGCCACGTGTAAGTCTGCTGAGTCAATAGGTATTGACACCTGAAAACGTCGGTCAAAGCTGATAGATCAATGGTCTACATGATTTAAAATAAATGATTGGTTAAGATTGCTATGTTTTTGAAAGGTTAAAGTTGAGATTACTCCAAAAATAAAATTAGAATACCAGAGGCACCTAAGATAAAAACTCTAAGGTTAATTTGTACTTTTACCTTTAAATTAAATAGGGACATATTTGCTAAGAATATGAAAAAACAAGAAAAATGAACACATTCTTTATGATAATTATATATTGCAATATCATAATCCTCTTGAGGATTAACAACAATAAATGAACCTTTAATTGGGCGTTATGAATAAATTAACCCCAAATATAGGGACTAACATGAGGTGAGGATCAAATTAACCTCCCTTCTAAAGTAGGATTTCAAGTCTTCAAACCCCTAACCTTTAAACATATTATGGCACCTTTTATATAGAACTTATAAGGTCTATAACTAACTAATATGATTAACACTAATCATACATTAATACTCTAAAATTCCAATAATATTAATTATGACAGGAATGGTGAGAGAGAATATAGAGATCACAAGTTCCATTGTACGTTCAAAATTGGTCCAAAAAAAAGGTGAAAAATCATATTTTTAATTTCCTGAACTTGGTAACATCATTTTTTTTTAACAAAAAACTTGATAACATCTATCACCAATAACCATACTTTGTCATAATCGGATGAGCATCTGTCCAGATTCCTAGAGTCCCATAAAGCTTGAGTGATTACCATAATCAACCTAGGATCTTGCAGTTGTATACCTTCCCATTCTTAAATTCTAGTTCAAAGCAATTGATCAAAGTACAACTGTTGAATCCATGACCAGATTGTTCCAGCAAAGTGACGACAAGATAAGAAGACATAATCAACTAATTCATTCCTAACTACTAAAAACATGCAGATGCATGGTGTCACTATAGTATATATCAGAAGTAAGAATGAAGTCATTTAATTTAAAATCTTGCAAACAAATAAAGTGGTCCTACTAAGAGGTAGAGTAAATTTCCACAACAGGTTCCACTCCTTGAAAAACTGCAGCTCTAGAAGAATATGACCCCACTAAATAATATAAACTCATCTTCCATGGTTGCATCCTCATAATTTAATTTCATTTCAGGCTTGTCCCCCAAACCGAAGATACATAACGTATATAAAACTACTTCAAGGCTCTCAAAATGCAATGCTCGTCATTCTGATTTGTAGTTGTGTCCAAGAAGAATTTGGCACAAATCGCATCCAATTTATAAGGCAGCAGAGTTGCAGTTGGAAGGAATACACAAGATAACTGATAAACATAAAAAGGACTGGCCAAGTTACAGACTTTATCCAAGTTACACGTGCAGCCTAAGACAGGAGATGACTCTTACAACTCGAAAGTTTGGCAATAAATGTTTATCACAGGGACATAATTCACTTAAACTTTTATTTATAAAAAAGATAAATTATATATATAATACAAACATGATAGTTGAAAACTTAGCATTTTTGAATATATATATACATATAATATTATATTTTGGGGGAAAAGACCATTCCACTTATATGCTTGTGATGAGGACGATATTCAATTTAGCTGTGCGGGTATTGAATTTAAGCAAGGGAGAGATTTTATATATTCTTTATAATTTTCCCTTAGTAATTATATTTACAGATATTGTTAAAAAAATTATTTTCGGCTTTAATTAATAGAATTTTTATAATAATTCTGAGCTCATGAGTACGGTTTCTTAAAGCTCTCTTATAAAATTAACAGTACTTGTTATTTCAAAATTCCTAAGCTATACTTCATCCATTTAAAAATACAAGATATTTTTAACTGAATTTCACCATTTAATAAAGTAATTACTTATTTTCAAATTAACTCTATCTTTTTATATTTATTCCTATTTAATAGGGTACTTTATCATAAAATAAATATAAATTAATTAATTCAATAGGAGAATTTAAAAAAAGACAATGATTATATCTTAAAAGACTAAAAATGTCTTATATTTTTTAATATATAACCTCTCAAAAAATGTCTTATAATTTTAAAACAAAGAAAGTATTTTTTTTTAATTTAATCAGCAATGTAACCACCACCACTTGAGTATGTGCAAAGCTCTAGAGACCAAATTATGGATAAATAAATTTATGATACAGTTTATTTAATTTTAAACACATTTTAAATATTTTTTGCATGAATATTAAAATTGGAGACACATGATTCAGAAGACCTTGAAAAATAATATATCTATATATATAGAGTAAATTTAGTGAAAATTATTGGTGTGCCTATAATTTTTCAGCTTGAATGATTTGACTTTTTCATCGCAAGTATGAAGGTTGGAACAAAAGGAGCCCATAATGGCCTCCTAAAGGAGAGCTGTAAACTTAAAAGTGCTTCCTCTAACCATCTTTTTATCGCTCGTGACACGTGTTTTATGTATTCTTGATTGGGATATTAACAGTTCATCGATAACCGTCGGACCCATTTGACTATTAAAGAGAAATAAAATGAAATGATATGATTATAAAAAAAAATGATTGAGATATATAAACAAATAGTATAATTAAAGTTATGGGATGGCAGACGGATGGGATCTCAAGCTACCCTTGCTCGGCTGGCTGTGGGCAACTCTAGTACTCCACCATCTCCCGTGCAGAGAGAACTAAACAAACAAGCTCCTTACACCTATCACCCACGCGCGGACATAAATGAACTGTGCCGCATCGCGCGTGGGCGTCAGCAGAAGGCATGTGGCAACTAGCAATGTAAAGCTTAAGTTCAATTTGTTTTGTTTTTTTTTGTTTTTGACCAGCAAGCTCAAGTTCAATTTAAATCATATTTTTTTGAATCAGATAAGGTAAGAGACGTGATGTAGCTGAATTCTAAGCCCAAAGAACGAAATAATTATAAATAAACCTAAGAGCCTCCAACAATCATCTAATCTCTTATGCAAAGGTTAGAAGGCACATTGTAAAGTTTAGAGAAATTCTTTCAAACTATTTTCTCACTTCTTATTTCTTTAGAATTTGTTTATGTTTTTAATTGGTGTTTTGGTGTGAACTTTATAAGCTGTTTTTAAACTCTCAATCAAAATAAGGAGTAGCATGATTGAAAAAGATTTTTCTCTTTTTATTTGGTTTTGTTTATTTTTTCAATTGAACTTGATTTCTTATCGATAAGGATTTTTCATTTATATTTATAATCATATCTTTTGTTTGAATTACTTTTTATATAGATGGACTACTGTATAATTTTTTTTGTGAGTTATTTGATAAACTAAGAGGTGAAGATTTAATTTAAATCTAGAGAGATAGACACATGTAAATGAATCAAAGATAATTTAGGATTTGTGATGACTTAGATTATTTGTTTAAGGTCTTAATAAGATTAGTGAGAGCTAATTTAACTTTAGATAAATATATCTTAATATATCGAGGGGTAATTAGGATATTTTAGGAAAAATTGTCATTGTAAATGGAGGAGATAATTAATCAAATTAGAGTAACATCCTAGTATGTGAATTATGATCTCTAGTGCTTGTTTGATTGATTAATTCATCATCTTTATCATTATTATTTATTTTCAGTATTTTAATTAGTTATTAAATCCTATGTCAAAACTCTTGGTTTTATAAATAACCAAGTTAATGCTTTCTTTTGAGTTTGACTCCTATAATACTCTGAAAATTATTGCTATATTGATCTCATATATTTGTGGGAGCAATTACTCCTACGACCAAATTATATTAAAATAAATATGTGAATATAGATGGTAGCCAAGTGGATATTTGTGATATAGTTTATTATTTAATTTTAAACATATATTTTGAAATTATTTTCTGCATATATATTATAAAATTAGAGACACGCATGATGTAGAAGACCTTGAAAAATAATATAAATATATAGTAGAATTTATTGAAGATGACGTCGATTCGCTTTGTGCTGAACTATGGACTTGTATATGGAGGCCTTAAATGGCTTAGGATCATGGATTCAGAAGATCATCTTAAAATCTGATTTCGGGGAAGCCATTGGTGCAATTCACAATGACATGCCCCTTCACCACCCTAACATTGGAATTATGGTTGAAATTCAAGCACTTTTGGCTTGGGAATGGATGGTGCATAGCTAGAGAATTGCAAGAGATGGCAATGCAGCTGCTGATATGCTAGCCAAGATGGCCCTTTCCTGTGTTGTTGGGTTTCATCTACTATTGTGTCCTTTTCTGGCTTAGATATAATTTTGGTACAATATATTAGTACTATTGTCTAGTTTCTGTTTTTTTCCCCTAGTTATCAATAAAAAAAATTGTAAAATTATTTGTGAGCCTATAAATATCCCTACAACATGTTAAAGCGATGGCAACAATTAACTTTACGATAAGTAAAAAATAAAGTGTTATATGCTAAGAATAAGAAACAATTCTTTGAGTGCAACTTTTAACTCTCCTTTTAAGCCACAAAACTTGAGCAACATTTGAAAATCGTTTCCTGGGATAAGAGAGACAGCATGTAATTGGGCAACGGTTTTGACATGTTGCATCATACTTTGAATAATTGAACAATTTGTATCACAAGTTTGAAGGTTGGAACAAAAAGAGCCCATAATGGCCTCCTAGAGGAGAGTTGTAATCTTAAAGTGATTTCTCCAGCCATCTTTTTTGTTGCTTACAACGCGTGTTTCATTCACACGCTTGATTGGGATGTTACTAGTTCATAGATAAGTATAGGACCCATTTGTTTGTTGGAGAGGAATAAAAAGAATGGAATGATTTATAGAAAATAAAATGAATTAAAACAAACTTATGGAATGATAGAGATATATAAACAAATAGAAAAATTAAAGCTCTGAGATAATCGGTCGGGGGATGATAACGGAGATTTCTATGAACAAAATTATCAATGCGTCCATATTCGATATTCATCATTGTGATGAGCATTGTGCTCATAAGGGTCAAGAGCAATCTGGCCCTTCATTTTATTCTAAAATGATTTCTGTCATTCTTTTAAATTAACTTTTAAATATTTTTAATATTATATTTATTAAAATAAGAAATATAAAAATTTTAATATTAAATTTAAATTATTTGGAGTACATTTAAATGATTAATTTATAAAATTTATAAATTTATAAATATTAAATTAAGTCATTTAAATTATATTTGAATTGTCCAGAGTCTATTTGAAGAGTCAAACTATAAAATTATAAAAAATCTTAATATTAAATTAGATTGCTATTTGTACTGGTAGATTGATAATAAACAAATTTATTAAAATTTTAAATTTTTTTATATTAATAAACATAATAGTAAAAATATTTAAAAATTAATTTAAATAAATAGTAGAGATTAATTTAAACTGAAATGGATGACCACGATTACTCCTACCTGAGGAGCTGGCGGCACCAAATGCAAATTTATCATTAATCCCCAATCTCATTCCTACCTTTCATCCCTTCAAGTTCTCACCTCTATAATTTTTATTTTTTCATTAATATACAACCTTATTTTAATCTATTTTCTTTACTACCAAGACATTCCTTTTCTTTCCATTTTATTCCAACAGCCAAAGCTAATATTTAATTAGTTATACTTAGCTTGATCAAACACCTTCTTTGTCCTTTAATATTTAATTTTCACCGCGCATTTGCAGCGCTGGCATTTGAAATTAAAGTGATAAAGCGACATCTGCGTAGGGATATCATTCCTTGTGCAGCTTTAATGGCTCTGACGAGGCCAGACTATCACCTTTCCTTTCTGATCCGTTTTTTTTTTTTAATAACCAGAGGATCACTATTCTCTTCTTATTCCTTTTTCTGACATGACGAAAACTATTTGTTCCTTCCACTACGTCCTTTCCTGTGGAAAGTAAAATGATCTTAGAATATGTTTTTCCCATACATGAAGAAGTGCATATTGAGTTACTCTTCTAGGCATTTAACACGAAAAGTATATTCATTGTTAATGTTTAATAAAAGAAAACTAACTCTAATCATTCTATTACTATTCCTTGTTTAATTATGTAGATAAGCCCAGAGTAAGAAAGAAATGTGAAATAACTTTGAGAAAATATAAAGAAATCTCAAAAGACTAATTAATTTAAATTAAGTCTCAAGTTTTAAATTTTAAAAATTTATAATTTAATTATTTAATTTTATAATTCTGTTGAATTTACAACTTATATTTTAAATTTTAATATAAAAAAATAAATATTTTTATTTTTTCAATTATTTTAAAATTTTAAAAATAAATTTTAAATTTATTATAACACAGTTATAAAATTTTTAAAGTTTGGCTTTTGATATCTAACTTAATTTAATTAATTTTTTGATTCTTTTTGTCATTCCCTCAACAACTTTTTTGTTGAGCTCTGTTCTATAAACACAGCTCAATGACAGGTGGTGGTAGGTAAATGTGAAATAAACGACAGAGAAATGGATCCGGACGGCAACAAATCAGCAGCAGTACTACAAGAGATTTCTCAGCGTCGATTGCACATTGGCGTCATGAGACGAGATTGGAACGAAGTCGTGCAGATTTTCAAGGAGAATCCAGAGATTCACGCCACGAAGATCAATGATATGGACGACACTGCGTTGCACTCGGCGATCACCAACGGGGCTTCAGAAACCAGCGTTAAGGAGCTCGTTGATGAAATAGTAACGACTAAGCATAATACCATGGAGGCTCTCAGAGCTGGAAATAAACGACAAGATACTCCTTTGCACTGTGCAGCCTCACGAGGCTCGTCCTTCATGTGTCGTCAGATATTACGTGTCGATAAATCATTGGTTCGTGAGAGCAACATTGACGGAGAGACACCTCTCTTCTTGGCTGCTTTAAACGGTCATAAAGAGACGTTCCTTTATCTCCACTCAGTTTGCAGAAACATGCACACAGCGTCGTCAATTCCCCTCTGGAAAAGAAATAATGGAGATAGTATACTTCACTGTACTATTCACAGGAAATACTTTGGTCAGTAAGTTTCACAGTTTTGACCTTTACATATAAGTAATATTAAAAGTTACCATAATTGGCCTATTTTACAAGTTATAAAATAGTGCATCTTTAATTTCGATATAAGGCTATGTGAGATGGTATCTACCGTTCAGGTTTGGACTTTTTTTGCTTCTAAAACGGTGAATTTTCATTTTTCTTCCTTCATACGTATTTTTCCCATACAATTTGAAAACTGTTGACAAAAAAATTAACTGGAAAAACATAACTATTAATTCCTATTATTTAATGTGTTCTGGTATTAGTGCCTGTAATCTTTTTTCTGTTATTCCAGATCCTTCTAGTTTATTCCGTTTGCAATGTTAATCCTTTTATTTTTAAATATACTTAAAAAAGATGATGAGAAAGCACTAATAGTGCTAAACATATTGACCTATGACTAGCGTTGCCAATCAATAAAGAGGTGGATTTATAATTCAGCAGATTAAATAACATTGTTTCATGTTCAAATAATTCTGAATCACAATTTTATCTCATCTCAAAGATTAATAACGTTTGTCACGACTCAATATATTTAACATTGTTAATACTACCTCATCCTTTTTTTTTTGGACATATTTAAAAATAGAGGGATCAACATTACAGACGAGATAAACTGGATAGATCACCTACAGCAACCAAAAAAAAAAAAAAACTATAAGAACCTATTCCAAAACATGTAAAAATGATAGAGACTAATAATTGCATTTTTCTTAATTAATTTGAATGATTTGTATGTAGATATATGGCTTTGGACTAAATGCATGAAAATTAACAGTAGCAATCTAAATCACATATCGTGTTTATCATTTGACTAGATGGGCTTATGTGGATTATAGAGCTTCAGCAATGTCACCCTAGCTATTTACAGTTGGGAACGATGTGATCTATTATAAATTCAAATTTTTTACTAATATATTGATTATGTTGATAATAATGATTGTTATAGATATTTTTTTTTTGAAAAAGGAATGGATAAGAAGTAATATTAGAATATCCCTGACCTATTATTTAGGTTGCATAAGCTAAAAAAAAGAAAGAAAAAAAACCTAATGAATCGCCTTTTTGAATGCTGACCAGATTTGTCATTCCAAATAATTAACCTTTATAAAGACCGAAGCATTGGAAGCAGTTTCAATGATGAAGGACACATACCTCTGAATGTCCTTGCTTCTATTCAATCTGCTTTTAAAAGTGGAACGCGTCTATCTTTATGGAACAAGCTCCTTTACCACTGTAAGTATCATTATCCTTCACCTTTTTTATCTTCTTTAATTTGTTTTTCCCTTTTTAGTTTGGGTTGAATTATTGGGAGAATTTTATTAAATGATCATCGATCTTACATATTTACAAATCAAGCCCAAATAATTTTAAAAACTCACTGCAGAAATTTGGGGTTGGAGTGAAATTAATATTAATAGCGAAAACACCATTTTGCTCTTTGTGTTGTTAAATGTAACAACTTTATAAGACTTGTTTATTATGTAATTTTATTTGTCAATTATATTCTCTTATATTACTTGTCAAGTCACTTGTTATATCGATTAAAATTACTGGTTTGACAAGTAATATTAGTTGTTAATTCCCTGTTTTTATTTGTTAAGTTCATTATTTTACTTGTTCAATATCTAACCTATAATAATCCATTACTTAAGTTATATATTTGTTAAGTAATGTTTGACTTGTTAATGTATTATATTACTTGTTAATTTTCGGTCATTGCTTGTTAAATCCATTGTGTTACGTATCTTACCAATCCATTACTTGTAATGTCATTGACTTGTTAGATATATAATGTTACTTGTTTATCCCCTGTCGTTACTTGTTACATCCATTATGTGTGTTGTTCAATTTAACTGAAGAATGATGTTTTGGTTATTTTGTTTTACAATTTAATCTTAAATTAGACCCAAAATCCTACAGTGATATTTCGGATTATATTGTTTTGAGGTTGATTTGTAAAAAGGTCGCATCGGTGGTCCTTTAATTAAATTCTCCCTAAATTATTATTACATATTATGAACTGATGACAATGGTTAATTATATCATGTAAACAGTGATTCGTGTAGAGAAGCTCAAGTTTGATCCTCCGGTGGAGTCCCATGTTGTAGACGTTGAAAATACTGAAGCGCAATATCAGACCCAGTTCATAAAAAGTGCATATTTTTGGTCTCAAGGTTGAGAGACAAACACGAACACATACATATATGAACGATTGTTCTTGGATAGTGATCATGCTTCCCTAGGATAATTGTTTTTTTTTTTTATCCTTTTGTTTTGTTTTGATTGTATTGCATCTGTATAGTATCTGTTTCTTTTAATGCTTTTGGTTACATGTATTTTAATAATTAGGCACCTATCGAAAAATTAAAGAGAAGCACGTTTGGGGTGAGCAACTCATGGAAGAGCTTATAAAACAAGATGCATGGTACAAGTATAAGGCAAATGCTATGGAACTTCGGAAAAATGTGAAGGAAAAACATGACTTGAGTTATGTGCCATATTATCACCACATGGATAGGGAAGTGCAGAAAGGTAACTCCAAATAGAATATAATAAAGAAAAAATTACATTCACAACTCACAAAAAGAAGTTTATCATTGAAAGGTTCCATAAATTTCACAAAATACTTTCAAGTTTTAAATTTTAAGTATTGACAACTTAATTAAGAACGTTGACAATTGGATAATAGTTATTTATAACTTGCTAGTACAAGTTTTTATTTTCTTTTACAAGTTATAAATGACAGTTGTCTAATTGTCAATGTTCTTAATCAAGTTGTCAATGCAAAGAATTTAAAATTTGAGTATTTTGTGAAGTTTATGGGACCTCTTAGTAATAAAATTTTTTCCGTGTGAACTGAATGTAATTTTTCATACAATAAATTATTAATAATAGTACTCATTTTTCATACATCATACGATATATTTAATTTAAATATATAATTTTTGTTATTAACAAGTTATAAATGATATATCTCATTTCTCAAACTTGGAATGCTATGTCTAGGGTTCACTTTGTTAAAAAAGTATGCATGAACCAATTAAAGTTGACATGAGTGATAGAAACTCTTGTCATCTAAGTAAATGGTTAGGAGTTAAAATCTCAATCCATGTCTATGTATTAATTTAATTAAGAGAAGTCTATGTATTGCTCTTAGTACCTCGAGGGAGATTCGACAGGCCTACCTTTCATGCTGAACCCAAAAAAATGCAAGCATTCATGTCTCTTTTTCGTTTTTGATTTTTTATGCTCTTCTCCTGTGGAAGAGAACTATAAGATCAGATAGCTAGCTTTTGATACATTTCGCTCATGGTTCGGCAGGAAGAGTCAAAAGATCAACAGCATTGTTAATTGCAGCTAAAAATGGTCTGATTGAGCTTGTGAACAAAATTTTTAACTGATATCCCGGTGTCTGCCTATGACCAAAAGACAGAGATGAAGAATGTAGTCCACGTGGCAGTAGAGGAAAGGCAAAGCCGTGTTTTGAAGGCAGTGATGAAACACCCACTTTGGAATGTATGGACAGAAAAAGTAGATGTGAATGGGAATAATGCATTGCACTTGGCAGCACAACTGTCAAAATATACAGGCTGGGAAATACGTGGCTCTGCTATGCAAATGCAGTGGGAAGTTAACTGGTTTGAGGTACGAACCTAATTTATTCAACATTTAAAGATCCTTTTTAACATTAGTCTACATGTTCATATATACTTTGTGGTACTTAAAAAAAAAAAAATCTACAAGTACACTTCTTTTTGATTTACAATAGTGCTTTAAAATTGCTCGAGCGCTGCTTAGAAGTTACAAGAAGCGCTCTCATAGGACTATTTATTTATTTTATTTAAATTTTCATCTTTAATTATGTATCATTCTTCAGCCCATTTACAAATCGATCAATCTATAAACAACAATCATATACAAAACTCATAACACATGTGTATTCAACTAAAAAAAAAAACTTGTCATTCAATTTAAATAATACAAAATACGTTTATGGAGTGCTTTGAAAAATTCTCCGATATCTTTTGTCTCTTCATTTAAGAGCCTTTTTTACATATAAACAAGCCCCTTAAAATAAATGCTTCCGAAAGTCTCTTTTATAGTAGTGTTTTAACATTAATCCACCAGATTCAACATCCTTCATTAGAAGGAGAAGTCATCTTTTATGATCATATATATGTGATTCATATATTTAAAAGACTCAGACTTAGGGCTCGAATTTGGAAAGTGCATGCCTCAAAACTTCTCTATTTTTCTTCTTATGCTTTTCTAACATAATACTATATATGTACGTTAATTCGTCTCGCTAAGTTTTGTACTTTTTGGCTTCGGCCAAAACCTAAAGATGAACTTTACATTTCAAAATTACTTATTGTGATATATATATATATATATATCTAAGCAAAGTGTTGTACTGTGCTGTTAAGTTTTTTTGAGTGTAATGGGAAAATTCAATAGCAATGAGGAAAAAACTGTACAAGGTTTCAAAGAGAAACACTAAAAAGTAAAATTCAAAAAATTATATCAAACACGTATAATTATACTTTGCTGATAAGTTAACTGTTTATGATGAAACAGTATGTAAAAGAAAATGTGCCATCATACTTCATTTCCCAAGTTAATGTAAATGGCCAGACTCCGGCGGAAATCTTCGCCGACCAACACAAGGATCTCGTTTCGGAATCTGACAAATGGGTGAAAGACACGACAGGGTCTTATATTGTGGTGTCTACACTCATTGCAGGTGTTTCATTTTCCACATGCTAACAAGTTCCTGGAGGTTATGACACATCTGGAAAACCCAACTTGGAAGTTCACCATCTGTTCCAAATATTTACTACAGCCACATTGATTTCATTTTGCTTCTCTATCACTTCGTTGGCTGCTTTTCTGGCCATTTTTGGCTCTTGAAAGGAAGAACCAAAAGGGTTTCTGAGAAATTTTCCATTGAAGCTTTGCTTGGGCTTGTCTTCATTCTTTGTGTCTACTGTCTCAATGTTGTGATGGACCCCATGGCATGGGTGACATAGCATTAATGGCAACGAAGCCTGAGAATGGTAATCATGAACATGGTGACATAGAAGGAGCTCAATACTTTTAATCCAACGTACCTAAAGACCCATTACAACATATTGGAGGTCCAATGACAAGAGCCTGAACCAAAGCCATGAAGCAAGCCTTGTTCAGTCTTGTGCAAGAAGTTCAAGAGCTTGGAGAGTATTGGGGCACTCCTCTCAAGCCTAAAGGAGAGCATCTATATGTGTATAATGTATTTAAGATCCAAACTCATGAAGAGTTAAGCCCAAGAGATGAAGACCTTAGCCCAATGTAAGGAAGACTACAAGTTGAGCCTCTTGCAAGCAAGGAGGCATGAAACCCTAGTAAAGAAGTCAAGGGTGGCGTGATTTTAAATCCTTTATGATCCCTTGATTGTCTCCTAAATTATTTCCTATTTTAGTGGTCCTTTGATTTGATTTTCTATTTTGAGTCTAGTCAAAAATTAGAATTAATTATAATATTAATTTCTAAATTTTGTAATCCCATAATTTTAGGATCACATTTCCTAAATTATGTGTCTGAATATTTTATCATTATTTTATATTATTTCTCCTTTTAGTATTAGAAAATTAGGGTTTTAATTTTAGGAAATATTTTTCTATGAGCCTATATAAATTAGGCATGCTCCCTATTGTAAACGAGATAGAAGTTGAATGAAATTATTCATTTTAGAGTTTATAACTCTTGTGAGCCTTAGTGCTTTATGGTGGCATCCCGTGTGAGAAACAAACGTGATCAAGAGCATGGTCAACTCTTGTGGTGTCTTCGAAGGTTGAGGTTCCTAAAGGCAGGTGCTCTAGAGGATCTTCTCCTTGATCATTATCCTATTGTTTACTTCATACCTTTCTTTATTTCCGTCATAAATTTCGTCCCTTTCCTTTTATTCTTGTGTTTTTGTTATTTTAGGGTTCTGTCCCTAAACTAGCACGATTCTGCTTCCGCATTCCCTATCATGTTGGTTTCTTTCTGTGCTGCATATTCCTTTGAACTTCACCCACGGAACAAGTATGTGCCCAGTCCTTTGTATTGTCTCATTTTGATACCTTTGTGTTTTTATACTGCCACTCAAGTTCCATTATACTGGGAACTTCTCAAAGCCTCTCTTAGAAAGTTGCCAAAGCCAAGATGTGAAGAAAAGACGACTATGTAGGAGCGTAGCATGTTTCTTTTTTATCCTATACCTTACAGATTGATAGATTATATTTTACATGCATGTAGCTTTTGGGTCTGTATTTTTATTTTTATTTTTATTTTTATTTTTGGAAAAGAAGACAATTTTATTTAAAAAGAAAGTAAAACGATTACAACCAAAAGCCTTTAGTTATTAAAAAACTAAAGGCCAATACACTGATACATGAAAAGCAAACGAAGAACATGAACAAAGACTTGAATAAAAGACAAGACTCTGAAAGAAACGAGACTCGAACAAAGACAGCTCCCAAAAAACAAAAGCCAAAATTCAACAAACAACACATTCAACGAGGAGAAGCCTAAGACGTCTTCGGAAAGTGCAAGGAGATGAAAAGATTTTTGGCTCGCATAAACAGCCTAGTGAACTAGCACCAAAAGCCAGTTGTTGTCTTCTACTATGAGCTCCGCGAGCAAATTGAAGAGTTGAATCCGAGTCAACTCTAAGTAATTTCTCCCGGAGGATTTGACGTATTATTGCCGCAATTCATGAAGAAGCCAGGGCAAGTGAAAAAGCTCATCAGCTAGAACAAGTCGAGGATATCTTGAAGCAACAACGCGAACAGAAACAAATTGAAAAATACCACAACCAAAAAACATGCGGCTCAAGATAAAGGACCTTCATGCAGCTGTAGAACATAAAGATCCTCAACCAAATCACGGATATGAACGAGGTTTTTTGGAGGAAACCTGGTAAAATCCTTCTTCAGAACCAGACTCTGTTTCCAGACCAGAAAACAGAGCAAAGTTACGCTTGCGAAGTTGAAATTAGAAGAAGAAAAAGCTGCAACGAAGTGAAAATCAGCAAACTCCAAATGATTATTGGGAAGAATAGAAGTAGGCATTGAGGTTCCCTGATATGGAAAAGCGGGTGGAATAGAAACATTTCCCATTGGAGCGAAATTTGGTTGCGCACCATCACTGCAAGGAAAACTCACTCTGTTTTGCGGCATGAATTGACAGAATGGTTCCAGACAAGTTTGTTCTGAAGCAACAAGGACTTGACAATGAATTTTACTTCGGGAGAACAGTAAAGGAGCGAGCTTGGCATGCTTTTTTCCTATCCTTGACTGAAGCAGAAAAGCCATGGTTAAAAAATTGAACACCAACATTACTTTTCAAACCAAAGAGAGGCCCAACATGATGGCAAGGACTCTTCATCATCTTCGTTTCCTGAAAAGAATCCTCAAGCCCATCAAGATATGCTGAATATATACTTCCTCTTATGCGTGTGGCACTCTTTGAAACATCCAGCACGTCTTCATGCAAGACTCCAAGTGGCGAAGAAGAGGAAACTGTGAGAGCAGAAGCGGCCCGAACAATGGAAAGCATAATAAATATCATATTCACACTTTAAAACAATATTCATTGAATGATAAAAAAGTATTAAAGATGAAATTCACGTTCAAATTTACATAGGTATAATATAAATGTAGAAATTCAAAGATATGGGGGGCACATATAAACTTGAGTTATGAGAAGCTCTTGATATCAATGGATTTAATTTTTACTGTAACATCCCAAAATTAGAATATACTTATTTGGAGTATTTAATTAACTGTATGCTTGAAGTTATATGGCCATGAGCAGGACTTCTATGAAATATGCAAACCCAAGGTGGTTTAAGATTTAATTAAGGACACGATTCTAATTAGTTATTTTGGGAGGGAACACCACAAGAAAATCATAATTTTCTCATGAATTTTTCTAATAGAAAAAAAAAATAGGAGAGATGTTCTCTAGCAAAATTCTCTTGAAAATGTATACTAATCCAATAATGTTCATGGCATCCCTCATGAAATAAACTAGAGAGAAATTTTGAGAGAAAACTAGAGAAAAAGAGCTCTTGGAAAAAGTTTCTCATGATTTTAAATGTGAGAATATATATTTTGACAGAAACAAAAAATGACAAATTTTAGAAGTTCTTTATATGTATTTATGTATGATCAAACTTCATCAATATTATTCAAGATATATAAATATATTTCTTGCACTTCATGATTCATGCTTTTTATTGATATCCCATGTGTACCTTGACCTAATTGCCTCATCTCCTGACAAGATTTAGGATCTATATTTGACAAGTAATCATCATAAAATTTCATAGCTTCTTTGGCAACATATTTTTTAACAATATATACTTCAAGGTAGTATGGACTTTTTATATAACCTTTCAATATTTTTATATATATCTTAATTGGGTACATCTATTGTAAGTAGATAGGGCTACACATTTTTAACTTCCTCATTAGATGAACTATTAAATGTATCATAATGTCAAAAAATGATGGAGGAAAATGCATCTCAAGTTGACACAAGATAAACTAGCTTCTTGTTCCAACTCATCTAATTTAAGGGGTCAATAACTTTATTGCATATCGCATTGAAGAAGAAACAAATCTAGTTATTATGTGTCTCAAATCTTCTTTCAATATATCTCAAATCCACTGGTAATAATTGTTGCATCAAGATATAACAATTATGAGACTTTAAGCCTACTAGTTTCAACTCTTCCATTGATATAAGCTTATTAATATTTGAAGGATACCCTGAGGAAATTTTCATCTCATATAAACACTCACAAAATTTTTTTCTCAACCTTAGACAATGTATGAGAAGGCAGAGGACAGTAAGTTCGCTTATCTTCTGACCTTGGGTCTTGTATTCCCATTTTGTAAATATAATCTTGCATTCACACCATCCTTTGTCTTTCCAGGCATGTTCCAAAATATTCTAATAATAATATCACACACATTTTTCTCCATATACATAACATTAATACAATATCTCACTTCAAGATGGTGACAATATGCAAGATCAAAGAAGATTGACTATTTTTCCATATATTTTTTACACTTGTGTTCTTTTGAGTTTTACCAAAGAAAATGTTGATATCTTTGACCCATTCATAGACTTGCTCCCAAGTCAAAACATTCAGAGCATGAAAGTGCTCTTAGTGGCCATGAAAACTTATTTAATTTATGATAAGTGTGATCTCATCTAAAAAATCTCTGATGACCAAAGTAGATCATCTTTCTTTCATGTTTAAGTTGATGGTAGCATGTACCTTCTTCACAAATTGGACATGCTTTGTAACCTTTGACACTATACCTAGCCAAATTTCCATACACAGGAAAGTCACTTATAGTGTAAAAGATTAGGACATAACTTAAAATTCTCCTATCAATTTGCGTCAAACATATCCACAAATACATCCCATAGCTTTTTTAAGTCTTCAATCAAAGGTCTTAGCTAAATATCAATGTCATTTATAGGTTATTTTGGTTCCAAAATTAACATGAATAGCATCATGTACTTCTATTACATGCACAGTTGAGGTGATAATTTATAAATCACCAAAAGAATAGGCTGTGAGCTATGTATATTGCTAAGGCTATCATAGAGATTCATTCCATTGATAGAAAGTCCTAGTCTGAGGTTTATTGGCTCATTACAAAAAACAGAAAATAATTGATCAATTTTCTTTCACTGAGAAGAGTCAGCTAGATGCCAAAGTTTCCAATCAAATATCATCTCATTTGCATGTCACCTCAAGTTCTTTGTATCATTAACAAGTGCTTAAACTTTATAATAATTTAAAATTATTATAAGTTAAATAGGGAGCAATGTAAAATAAACCAAATTTCATACCCGAATATTTAGTTTGATAATATGCTACTAATTCTTCTTTTGCTTCTGGTAAATCAAAAGGTAATCTTTCACATTCTGTTAGGGAAGAAATTTGAAAAATGAGAAAACCTATAGATTGACACCATAAATTCTATCCTTAAAAGCCATATTTTGATTGCATGTCAACTATATCAACTGTACTTAAACTATTAGATAATCCTAGTCAATGATAACATTACTGTTCCTATCACTATTATAGAACCGTACATGATATTTTCACCTCATACGACTCCTCAAAGGCCATAAATCTAAGGGACCGGGCTAGTTATTTATCTTGATATATCCTTAGGATAGATAGGGTTCAAATCCATTAGATGGTCCTGAATTAAACCTTCATCAATGGTTGTGAATGACTGATTTTTCTTAATCTTTATGACTTGCTCTATAGAATCGAGGTTGAAAAGATTGATAAATAGAACTATCTAATTTGATTTGTTCTCAATAGACACAAGATGATCATCTTAGGGTAATCCTTTTGTCGATGGATGTCCTATTACACTC